AGAGCCGCCTGAGCAAGCTCAAGGCCTGCCGCAGCCGCGAGGAGATCGCCCAGCTCTGCGACGACTACGACGCCGACAGCCAGGAGTTCTTCTTCGACCGGAGCCCCAGTGCCTTCGCGGCCATCGCCAGCTTCCTGGCAGCCGGGAAGCTGGTCCTGCTGCGAGAGATGTGCGCCCTGTCCTTCCACGAGGAGCTGAGCTACTGGGGCATCGACGAGGCCCAGCTGGAGCGCTGCTGCCTGCGCAAGCTGCTGCAGAGGCTGGAGGAGCTGGCTGAGCTGCAACGGGGCGAGGAGCTGCAGCAGGGCCGGGACGCCGGCCAGCCCGCCCAGGCCCCCTCCCGCTGGGGGCTGCTCATGGACAGGCTGAGGGAGATGGTGGACAACCCACAGTCCGGCCTGCCTGGCAAGGTCTTTGCATGCCTCTCCATCCTGTTTGTGGCAACCACGGCCGTCAGCCTGTGCATCAGCACCATGCCGGACCTGAGGGTGGAGGAGGACAAGGTGAGTGGCCACCGGTCAGGGCCAGGGACCCCATCCCATCAGCCTCTGGGGGTTAGGGGACCATCCCCAGAGATCTTTACCAATCAGATGCGGGGAGGGGCCGGGGATGAATATAACCTAGCATGGGCTATATTCCTGCATATGATACATTGTAATCATTTGGGTGGGGTGGGATGTCAAAGACTAAACTCACTCATACAGACCCTACAGGACAGGGTAAAACTGCCCCTGCAAGTTTCTGAGACTCTCACTCTTTACGGGAGTAGAAAGCCTTGACTTCTCCCATGGAGCTGCTGGTGATTTCGAACCGCTAACCTTGTGGGTGGCAGCCCAGTGCGTAACGACTCCTGCACCAGCAGTAATGACTGTGATCCAAAGCCGTGGACAGTGGGTGTTTCTGTGCCCATGAATTCCTTCCCTCAAAACAACAAAAATATTACTAAAAATGGTCTCATCACCTCCTTAGTGTAAAACGGATACAACCCGAGCTGCCTTACATTCTGTGATTAAAAGCAAGATTATGACATTTTCATGGGCCCTAGGCACTTTGGCTCCAAAAAAAAA